GTAGGGCAATAGAAAATACAGTTTGTACAGTATAAAAACCATTACGCCTATGGAGAGTCCCCGTAAACCACAAATACAAGTATGTGTGTGTGTGTGTGAGTGTAAATGCTTCATATTTGTGACTTGTTTGATTTGGAGAAACTGTGTTTTGGAGCTCTTGTTGAATTTATTTTAAGTATTTTGGTGCCAGGCGTTCACTTTTAATTCATTTTGATTTTGCATCTAACACTAAGTGCTAAAGTTCAGTGTCTGCATCATCCTCATGATTATTCAGTCTTGTTGTCTTGTTGTCTTGTTGAATTGCTTATGTTCCTCTATTGTAATTCGCTTTGACAAAAGCAACTGCAAAATTGAATTGGTTTCTATTTCAAGTGTTAGGTAGTTATTACTAGTATATAATACATAACATAACATAATATTGATTAACTGATCAAATGAATGGACCTGCATAAAACAGCGATTTCTACCCAGAACATTAGGAGTCAGCTGTCTTCGGCAGTCCTTAAGGTACCAGCACAATAACATACTCAGCAAAATATCGTCTAATTATCGTCATCGATAAAATCCCAGAAAATATCTCGATATTATTTTTTGTCAATATCGCACACCCCTAATGTGTACTGTATTTATTTATTATGTATATATAAATACAAACATATACAGTAAATATTTTTACAATATATATATATATAAATATATATATATATATATATATACACACATGCATGTGTTTGTCTTTATATATATATACATATATATATATATATAATAACTATTGTAATTTAAATGATAGAAACTCTTTAGATGAAAGTGTCTACTAAATACATAAATGTAAATGTTGTTGAGGAGACTTGTGCTGGTACTTTAAGTGATCAGGGTTAAAGGTCGTGCACTCTCACAGTGTTTGAATGAAGTGATGATGTCAGTCAGACTAATGTCATTTACAAATAATGACCAAGTAATGTGATGTTTAATGATCTGAATTGTGTTTCAGGGCGACTATGTCTGGCTGGACCTGAAGACGGGTGGGGAATTTGAGGTCCCGATCGGAGCTGTGGTGAAGCTCTGTGATTCTGGTCAGATCCAAGTCCTGGATGATGAAGGAAGTGTACGTTATTGATCATAAATATCATTCCTAGTCTGGTCAGCTGAAGGCTGCTCTTCTCCTGGCTGATCAGTCATGTTTTGTTGCATTGCATAATATGTTTATTTCATGAATAGCTAATAATTATTATGAAGCTCTTTGGTGGGATTTGTGTGTTTTCTGTCGCATTGAATCTATGAATCTGCATTATGTTCAGGAACACTGGATCTCTCCGCAAAATGCCACCAACATCAAGCCGATGCACCCCACCTCCATCCACGGGGTGGAGGACATGATTCGACTGGGGGATCTGAACGAGGCGGGAATCCTCCGGAACCTTCTCATCCGCTACAGAGAACATCTCATCTATGTAAGCTCTGCTGCTCATTCCTTCTGATCTACACCATAGTACTGAAGGTGCATGTATAGCATATCTTTAGTTAATATAGTATTATATAATACATAATGTAACATTCATGCTAACTGATTAAGTTAGTGGACCTCAATAAAATTATTATTTCATTTAATTATTTCTTGAAATAAATTATGAGTATAATAATAATGATATTAATAATACTCATAATAATCATAATTTTATTTTATTCAAGAAATATATATACTAACTATTATTTAGTATATCTGTATATAGTAACTGATATAATTAGCAGATTTGTATAAAATAATTATTTTTAATTGTTATTTTAATAAAATAATACTAATAATAGTAATAAAAAATTAATTTGACAAAATATATATTAGTATATAGTAACAATTTGAAATGGCATTGAGTAACTGATCAAAGTATTGGACCTGAATAAAATAATTTTATAAATGTTATTGTTTAGTTTATTAATAATAATAATAATAATAATAAAATTCAAAAATATTTTTAAAAAGTAAAAAATTAAAAAAAAAAAAATGTAAAATTCAAAAACATTAATAATATACATAAATAATTAATATAATAATTATTTTAACATTTGAAATTCCGTTTAAAAGATATCTAAATAAATACATAAGTCTAAAAAAAAAATAAAAAAATTATTAATTGGGATAAATAACAGTTAATTATATATAAATAACTATTATATACAAAACTACTGTGTCTAATTAATTAAATAAATAAATATTATTAATTGGGATAAAAAAGGAATATTTCTGTTGCTCATTATGGTCATCAGAAAGACAAAAACAATTTGTTGGTCTGTTCCATGATTTAAATCTTTAAGGGCTTTATCTGGCTGTTTTAATCTTTAATAACTGTCCTCGTTGATCTGCTCTGGTTATGTTCTCATCTCTGTTTTTGTCTGTATGAAGACTAACTGTGGTGGTCGGGTAAGTACTCATGCGCACGGCTGCTCGCTGTTCATTGCCTGACTCAGAACGAGTGTGTTTTCATTACGGTGCTCCATTTCAACATGGCCGTGAGGTCTGCGGTAACGGGACACTGATACATCCCACTGTAACTGCACCCACGAAAAGCAAGTCGCCTGTGCATCTCCTCTCATGTCATCTTCATTCGCCGTGTCCCATAACCAATATATCTGTCTTGTGTTATAACATGAATGATGATATCTGCATGTCCTCGACATGCTCTGAACTGTCAATGTTGCATAAAAGTCAACACAATAAAAGTTCCTCCAGTCTGCTTCAGCTCTCTTTCTGTGTTCTTCATAGACGTACACCGGGTCCATCTTAGTGGCTGTGAACCCGTATCAGCTGCTGCCCATCTATACGGCAGACCAGATTCGCCTCTACACCAACAAGAAGATCGGAGAAATGCCTCCACACATCTTCGCCATCGCTGACAACTGCTACTTCAACATGCAACGCAACAATAAAGACCAGTGCTGCATCATAAGGTGAGCAGCGTTCAGTGTGAGTGCTGCATGGGACGACATATGCCTGCCTATCTATTATTTAGGATCTGGACTGGATATCTAAAGGTTACAGGTTCAAACTCCAGAAGACGTTTTTTCAGCTGCCACCACATAGTGCCCTTGAGTCAGTGTGGTTATTGTATTAAAATAAAACAAAATATAATTATTAGATGAAAACTTAAAATACCTTGGCAACTTAAAATAAGTATAATAATTAATATAATCAGTTATTATTTACATTTAGTCATTTAGCAGACGCTTTTGTCATGACAAGTTTTTTAAAATAATTAATAAAAAAAAAAAAGAAAAGTAGATAGAACAGAAAAAAATGTAGAACGCTGGTGTTAGAGGGCCAAGTTTTTTTAAATAAATTAAAAGAAAAGAAGTAGAAATAGAATGGAAAGAGCTAGTGTTAGAGGGTCAAGTTGTTATTTTTTATAATAAATAAAATGAAAACAAGTAGATAGAATAGAAATAGAACAGAGAGTGCTAGCGTTAGAGGGTCGAGGTTTTTTTTTTATAAAATAGAATCATTTTTATATAATTTTTATATGTAATTTTATAAAATAATAATTATTATTTTATTTAATAAATAATTAATAAAATAATTATTTTATTCAGTACCATTTCAGATAAATAAATATAGAACTATTGTGTCAGAAAAAAAGAATGAATGAATAAATATTATTGGGATAAATAATGGGATATTTGTGTTAATCATTATGGTAATCACAAAGACAAAAAATTGTAAAACTAAAACTGTTAAAAAAATGTGTTAGTTAAATAATGCTCAAATGAAATATTTATTACTTAATGAAATGAAAATGAGAAATGTTGCATTAGCAACTAACTAAAATAAAATGAGTTAAAGCTGAAGTACTAAAATGACAACCTGGAATAAAAATAAATCTAAACAGAAATCTTAAATAAATAAATAAAAATCACAGAAGCACATATTGTGACAAAATGACTAAAACTTAAACTAAAATGAAAACTGAAAATCTAAAAATATGTTCAAATTCAAAAAAATTAATAATGACTATAATCGTATATAAATAATTCTAAAATAGCACTGGCACCTTCAAAAATATTCCTGTACTTTCAACTAGTAGAAGTGAGGTCAAAGTTGAGGTTAATGACAAAGGTAAGGTTGGGTCGGGATCAGGATGGGCCTTAAAGGGTTAGTTCACCCAAAAATGAAAACTAGCCCACAAATTACTGGATTCGTCTGAAAGAAGAAAGTCATATACACCTAGGATGACTTGAGGGTGAGTAATTTGTGGGCTAATTTTCATTTTTGGGTGAACTAACCCTTTAAGGTCAGGGATAAAGGAAGGCTTATGGTTAGGCTCAAGAAAAGAGTTCGGGCTAGAGTTATGGGATATGGGTTGTTCTGGACCTCCAAATAAACAAAGTATATGAATGTTGCATGTGAATCCCGCAAGACTTTTTACAACTGAGGGTTACCACAGTCTATACATACAAGATGATGTCCCTGTTCTACGCTGTTGAATAAAAAAGTGTTGTAGAAGAAGATTTGAAGATGAGCCTGTGTATGTTCATCAGTGTTTATTTCCCTGTCAGTGGTGAGTCTGGAGCAGGAAAAACAGAAAGTACCAAGCTGATTCTGCAGTTTCTGGCTGCTATCAGCGGGCAGCACTCCTGGATCGAGCAGCAGGTGCTGGAGGCCAATCCCATTTTAGAAGGTAAGAGAACTGCGGAGGGATTGAGCTCTGGAAACACATCTCTGTGCGGATTACATTCTGAATGGTTTGATGACTTTACCACACAGCCTTTGGGAACGCTAAAACCATCCGTAACGACAACTCCAGCCGCTTTGGGAAATACATCGACATCCACTTCAACAAAAGAGGAGCCATAGAGGGAGCAAAGATCGAGCAGTACCTTCTGGAGAAATCCAGAGTGTGTCGACAGGTAACAAATCTGAATCCCAATTCTTTTGAGTTTGAATCAGTAGTTTGGGTCTGGTAAGATTTTGAAAGAAGTCTCATGTACACCAAGGCTGCGTTTATTTGATCAAAAGTACAGAAAAAAGTGAAATATTATTACAATTTAAAATAACTGTTTTCTATGTGAATATATAGTAAAATGTAATTTATTTCTGTGATGTAAAGTTGTATTTTCAGCATCATTCCGCCAGTCTTCAGTGTCACATGATCACAATATGCTGATTTGCTGCTCAAGAAACATTTCTGATTATTATCAATGTGCTGCACGATATTTTAGTGGAAACTGTAATACATTTTTGTTCATGATTCTTTGATGAATAGAAAGTTCACATCCCTAACCCTAACAATTATTTGAAATAGAAATCTTTTGTAAGATTATAAATGTCTTGACTGTCACTTTTGATCAATTTAATGCTGACTTGTAACTTAATTAAATAAATAAATAAAGTACTGTTACTACTGTACTACAATTACAAGGATGGATTTCTACAGGGCCAAAAACATGAATATTTGAAACAGAGAAATTGTATTTAACTATTTCCACAAACAATAAGTCTTTCTACTTCCGTCTTATACATAAGATGATACATTTCTCCGTTATTTATTATATGATACTGTATAATGAAACTTAATTTCTGCATTATTGCAAAACTTTGAGCAAATATCTTTGATGATCTTCATGGTAGATGTTTGTTTAGTAATATTTTTGAGCAACCTGCGACACATTTTTGTTCAGGATTCTTTGAATAGAACTTTCAGAAGAACAGAATTTATTTGAAATAGTCGAATTAATTATTCTAAATGCTTTTACCGTCACTTTTGATCAATTTAATGTGTCCTTGATGAATGAAAGTATTAATGTCTGCTATTCTATTGCTATAATGAAAACAAAATCAGTCCAAACTGCAACATGCAACATGTGAATTATTATTAAAAAATTTGTACGATTTTTTAATTTGTACCTTTTCCTCTACTCTTTCAGGCCCGTGATGAGAGAAACTACCACATTTTCTACTGTATGTTGAAAGGAATGACGCCTGACCAGAAGAAGAAGCTCGGCTTGGGTAAAGCCACAGACTACACCTACCTTACTATTGTGAGTGATGATCTTTAATGCTTTAATATTCTTGCAGTGCAGTATACATGTGCACAATCAGACATACAGAGACAATCTTTAATAGCAGACACTCGCTGGAGTCGCCAAAATATACTAACATATTAGTACTTGCATTAATAACCTTGACCTGGCATGTGTCTATGCTGTCTAAACTCAGGGAAACTGCACTGTTTGTGACGGTCGAGATGATCAGAAGGAATATTCAAACATCTGCTCGGCCATGAAGGTCCTCATGTTCACAGACAAGGAGAACTGGGAGATTTGCAAGCTGCTAGCCGCTATTCTGCACATGGGCAACCTGAACTATGAGGGTGAGTTTGCTGGACAAATGCACTGATAGCACATGTAGGCTTTATTGCCTATTTATCTATTTGACATCTGGATTTACGTCTACACTCTAAAAAATGCTGGGTTAAAAATAACCCAATGCAGGGTTAAAAAGGGACAAACCCAGCTATTGGGTTGTTTTGACCCAGCAATTGGGTTGTTTTGACCCAGCAATTGGGTTGTTTTGACCCAGCTATTGGGTTGTTTTGACCCAGCAGTTGGGTTGTTTTGACCCAGCAATTGGGTTGTTTTGACCCAGCTGGGTCAAAACAACCCAATAGCTGGGTTTGTCCCTTTTTAACCCAGCGCTGGGTTATATTTAACCCAGCATTTTTTAGAGGGTATAGGACGTTTCCTATCAGATGTCAAATAGACGTTTAGAAGATGTCTTTAAGATGTTTATGATTGCATGTAAAACTGACATCTATCAGATGTTTGTACACAGCAGATGTTTTCCAGATGAAGTGATCTTTAACAGACATCTTGCAGATGTATGTGTGCTGTCTGTGTATAATAAACTCAATTTTTTTTTTTTTTTTTTTTTATTCAAAACATTCTTTTGTCATGTGCTTTATCTGTAGTAGTACTGAAACTGTGTATTTAGTAACTCGTGGTGCTATAAACTTCCTCCCCAGCTCGCACATATGATAATTTGGACGCTTGTGAGGTCGTGCGATGCTCAGATCTCAACACTGCCGCTGTTTTGTTAGAGGTATGACGCTAAATCATGACATTATAGCGACATGGCGATTTAAGTGCATTTTAGCATAACATTAATGCTGAATAAATCTTTTGAATGAATGAATCTAGTCTGTTATGTATCGGACATCTGACGAATGCGAATAGAAGTATGTGCAAGATTATCCAGGTGTTTGAGCGCCCTCTTGTGACTAACATGGAAACAATTACTGTGATGGATTTAAGTATGAATGTTTGAAACGGAGAAATTGTTTTCAATTTTTTTCCACAAAAACGAATGAATATTTGAAATAGAGAAATGTTATTTAAGTTTTTCCACAAAAAAATGTATGAATATTTGAAACAGAGAAATTTTATTTTTTTTTCCACAAAAAAAGAATACTTCAAGTATAGAGAAATAAAAATAAAAAAAATCCACAAAAATGTATGAATGTTTGAAACAGAGAAATTTTATTGAACTTTTTCCAGAAGAAAATGTAAGAAAATTTGAAATAGGGAAGTGTTATTTAATTTTTTCCACCAAAAAAGTTTGAATATTTGAAACAGAGAAATAATATTTAAAAATTTTCTACAAAAACTAATGTATACATTTTTGAAACAGATAATTTTTTTTTTATACACAAATAAATACATAAATGAATAAAAAGTTAATACTTGAAGTAGAGATTTTTCTTAATTATTTTTCCACAAAACATTTCTGAATATTTGAAACAGAGAAATTATATTTAACTTTTTTCAAAAAAATAAAGAAAAAAGAAATCGGTGAATATTTGAAACAGAGAAATTTTATTGAACTTGTTCAGCAAGAAAATGTAAGAATATTTGAAATAGAGAAGTGTTATTTAATTTTTTCCAGAAAAAAGTTTGAATATTTGAAATTATATTTAAAGTTTTTCAACAAAAAAATGTATGAATATTTGAAATAGAGATAAAAAAAAATTCCACAAAAAAGTTTGAAAATATAATATTCATATATATAAATATATGAATATTTGAAACAGAGAAATTATATTTATATTTATTTATTTTTTCCACAATTTATTTTTTATTAATATTTCAAACAGAATTTTTTTTTTTACTTTTTCCACAAAAATGTATGAATATTTGAAATAGAAAAATTTTATTTGACTTTTTCTACTTCTGTCTTATGCATATAATAATCAGTTATTTATGATATGATTCTGTATAAAGAAAACGACTTTTTGACAGCTGAAATTTCTGTATTATTGAGACATTGTGCAACATTGTGTGAAATGGTGTGTTAATGATCTTTACAGCAGACGTTTGTTCAGTAACTCTGGATTGGTCCTGTGTTCATAGGTGGACTTGAAGGACCTGATGAACTGCTTGACCAGCCGAACCATAATAACCCGTGGAGAGACGGTTTCCACTCCTCTGAGTATTGAGCAGGCGCTGGATGTGCGAGACGCTTTTGTTAAGGTAAAACCATCTCCCGCTGTCATCGACACACCTGATCCAGGTCATTCATCTAACTAGCTGTGTGCTTCATAGGGCATATACGGACGCTTGTTTGTGTGGATTGTTGAGAAAATCAATGCAGCCATTTATAAGCCTCCGTCCCTGGAGCTCAAAGCAGTGCGGAGATGCATCGGCCTGCTCGACATTTTCGGCTTTGAGAACTTCACTGTTAACAGGTTGAAAACAACCACAACATTACAGTGTCCCTGTTACACATACAACAAATATTTGTATATTGAGTCACCTAATAGCCTACTAATATACTAATGCTAATTATACTGTAACCATATTGTGCAAATGATGGTTAATGCACTTTCCTGGTCTAATTATCAGTTATGTCCAAACATAATTTTATTTATTTTTTATTTTTTATTTTTTAATCAAAACATAATCATTTCCGAAGCCCCATTTCACAAAAATATTGAGTTGTACTTGATATGTCGACTGTGAAATTAAATTTCTGTTATTAATTAATTTATTATTATATATTTAATACATAATAATTATTATATATGTTAATATATAATAATAGCATTTGATACGTAGCAAATAGTCTATGTATATCAAATGAATAAATCTTAAATTTAGGCCTAAATATATAATATAATATAATATAATATAATATAATATAATACTTAAATGATTGACTTATGATTTTCATCTTTCGGGAAACAATGCAATTCAAATACATAAATCTTAAATTTATGCGTAAATGTTCTATAT